ATCATAGAATCATAGAATCATAGAATCATAGAATCATAGAATAGATTGGGTTGGAAAAGACCTCCAAGATCATCAAGTCCAACCCCTGATCCAACTCCAATTACTATATCATGGCACTAAGGGCCACATCCAATCTCTGCTTAAAAACCTCCAGGGATGGTGAATCCACCACCTCTCTGGGTAGGCTGTTCCAGTGCTTCTCTGAAAGACAGATTAGTGACTCTATTACTCCCTTACTCAGATTTAATTCTACATATCCATTGTCTTAATTTTCTTTGAAAGACAGAAGTTAGCCAGGGTTGCTACAGGTTAAACTCTAAAATCTGCAAAATTTTCCAGGGATGAAGAGCCTAGATTTAAGGTAATTCAAAAGTAAGAACAGTGCTGTTTGTGGTATTCTTGTGCTGTTTGAGTTTTCAAGGCCAGTGGACTAGAGTCTGAAGTGCCTGAAACAGATGGATATTCAAGAGATGCTGGACTCCCCAGTGGGAAAGTAGCAAAATGGTAGTCTAGTCATTTTGACTGCCAGGCACGGGGCCTGGATAGTAGATCAGTCCATAAATCCTGCATCTGGGTGTATGGGAAGGAAGTATATGACATTGGATAATGCACTGGAAAGTTTTGGAGGTACATACTCATGTGGGATCCTCATTTCAGGCTCTCAGTTGTTTACAGAAGGAGAATCTAGTCTGTGTTGGATTGGGAAACTACTGGGAAGGGTGGCTACAGCAACCCCCTGAGTTCCAGTATGGCTTAGCCATTTCCACAGAGCTACCCATGGAGCGGAACACTTAAGTAGTGGTCACCAAAACCTACAGGGGAATGATCAGATCCAGCACCAGCTCATGGAGCTGGATCTGCAGGCAATAAAAGGGCTTGCTCTAGCAAGAGGAGCACAGTGAGCCATTAGGAATCTTCAAGCCAGCTACCACCATCCCACAACCTTGTGCCTGATGAGGTATCACATACACTGTAAAGTCTATGGAACCAGATTTACCTACATTGACTGTGAGCCTTACTAGCATTGATGCTCTTAAGGGCTTTACTATGCTCATGTTGCACTAAGGGTAAAGAAGGTGCTGAAAATTGTAGGAAGTCAGAGTACAGCTGCTTGCACTTCTGCCAGGTAACATTGGGTATGAATGTAGCAGCCAAACTGACCAATGGGGAAAGGGAGGTCCAAAGGCAGCAAAAAGGGTGGTCATGAAACATAAAGGGATAAAAAGTTACACTTGAGGCTGTCCGGGGGTGTCTGACCTGAGAGTCTCTGTGCTTGGTCATCACAGCCAGGACAAGACAGTAAATCAAACCTGTTGTTTCCATAGGAGTCCAAACTGCTTCTGCAGTCAGACGGGAGGAGTGAGAAGGTGCTTCTCCTGACCAGTGAAGAAAAAGCTAGGCAGATGGATTAAGCCTCCTGGTATCACTGGGTTGCTGACAGTGTTGACACTTTCACCTGCTAACTTCAGGCATTATTTCATTCTGCATCCAGGCAGTAAATCAATAGAAGGGGAAGCCGTATGAGGAGCAGCTGAGGTGACTTGGTCTGTTCAGCCTGGAGAAGAGGAGATTACCTGAGGGGAAGCCTCACTGGAGTCCCCTCACAACTTTCTCATGAGGGGAAAAAGAGAGGCAAACACTGATCTCTTCTCTGTGGTGACCAGTGACAGAACCAGAGGTAATGGCCTGAAGTTGAGTCAGGGGAGGTTTAGGCTGAATACTAGGAAAAGGTTCTTCCCGCAGAGGGTAGTTGGGCACTGGAACAGGCTTCCCAGGGAAGTGGTCACAGCATCAAGCCTGACAGAGTTCAGGAAGTGTTTGGATGATATGCTGTGACTCTTGGGGATGGTCCTGTGCAGGGCTAAGGGTTGGAGTCGATGATGTTTGTGGGTCCCTTCCAACTCAGCATATTCTGTGGTCCTGTGACTAGCTAAGTCAGTGTTACAACAAGGATGTCATATACCCACTTCTTTAAATTAACAACAAAACCCCAGTCAGTACTCACCTCTGTTGCTTCCATTATATACTATCATGATACTGGCTTTATTAATATTTTTCCTATATGGCCAATTTTCTGGGTTTCACTTGCCAGTGCCAGAAAAATAGACTGGCTCTAAGAAGCCAGCTTGGATTTTTAATTCCCTTCCCTGTAAGCAAAAGACAGAGATAACTTCTTTTGCATGACCTTCTGAGAGAAAACAGAAAATAAATAGAATTCTTGTAATCTTTGCAAGGGCATTAAAGGGCCACTGTTCTGATTTTTTTAAAAGGCCAAAGAAGAAAAAAAGGTCTTTTAAAGAGGGCTAAATCTAATGTCAGCCCCAGATTTTTATAGAAGAACATTTCATTCTTTGGTGTGTAAGATTTCTGCATGCTACCTTTGCAACTGACTTACAGACAGCTTAATGGAATATAGATTTGTTTCCAAGACAATTCAGGTAATTATATTTGTAATTCTCCAAAAGTAGAATATAAATTCTCTTCAAGAATGAAAAATGGTGATCTTTGTCTCAGCATAGGCTCAGTCTAATATTTGTTTTTCTAACTAATTGTAAACTAAGTGATTATATTGCAATTGTAAGCAACCCTGTGAGTAATGAATTATCCTTAACTAGGAGAAGAGATTAAGTCTGGAGGCTGTTGCAACTTTCTGCCAAGTGAACACTTCAAGAAGAAACACTTGCAGTCCCTATCAGGGAATACCCACATACCCTGAGATGGATGCACTCACACAGGGGAAGTAGGGAGGTTCTTTAAAAACAAAGGTTCTCCTCTATTAGCACACAGGCTGGCTCATTCTATGCAGCTGGGGAAGCACAAATTATGTCACCTTTTAAACTGACTTCCACATCTAACACAAAAATTTTGTAGTTTTTGCCTTTACTTCAGGGTAAATGAGAATCCAATTTGAAACTGAAACTGAGAAATTTAAGAAATTCATCTTTAAAGGACCTAACTTCAGGTATAGAGATGCCCCCTCCAAAACTCTTGTCCTTACTTATGAGAGAACAGAATATCTACAAAGTAATTTACTATAGTTAAGTTGAGACACCTGATTTACAAACCTGTGCTATAATCACATCACTCTGCTTCTGTTAGCCCTCTCTTTTGCATACCCCAAAATAATACCCATCACTGTAATATTTTATTCTCAAAACGTCCATGAAACAGAGAAGTATTGTTGTTTAACAGATAAGAAACCTATTTAAGACACCAAGACTATGCAGATAAACTAACTTGTGAAGCAGGAGAGGGACCATTCTCCAGTGCTGTGGCAAAATCACGTGAAACAGTTTCTACATGTTATTAAACTATCTTCTTGAAAAATTTAATATAAAATATAAAATATTTGGCCATATTGCCATTTGGGAACCATCCCTAGCACCTCAAGGAGTACCTGGAAGAATGAGAGTTGGTACAGGCTAAAATCATTCCAGAGGGAATAGAGAACTAGCGGTCTATAACACTCTTGTGTAAATGACTACTCACCTCGACTTACACTATAGATTTAGACAGGGAGCAGTATAAATGAGTGAAGACAGATGAGCATCCTCAGGAAAGTGACCCATCCCATCCTAATTCAGGCTGTTTCAGAGGGTAGTTGATCTCACTATCTCTTTCTTTTGGCTACACAGGGAACCTATACAACTTATTTAGACAGCATGTATAACAGCTAAACAGACTAAATCTAGTGACATGAATAGTCTCCAAGCACAAAGGAGAAACACAGCAAAGTAAACCCAAACTTTGCCATTTATTTGACAATTTAGTCTAAGTCTTAGAACTATATTGCATTTCACCCCAGTTAGCTGCAGGAATCACTATACAAAAACATATACCTGCCTTTCAAAGCACTCACTCTCCAGCTGTCTTTTGGTGATATCCAGTTCTGCCTCAAGCTCAGCTGCTCTGTTTCTGAGGTGAGTAAAATCTCAACTCTGCACAGCACTGTAAAGTCCATACACTTTAATTAGATAGCAACCATAATCCTCCAAGCATGTAGCCAAATACAATTATCCAAAATTAAAAGGGCAGCTATATAATGCAATTGAGATTAAGAACCTTTTTTTTTTTTTTTGAGCAAAATATAACACTGTGAAGAAAAGGCTATTAGAGTACAGCTGAGGAATCAAAAGCAGGTTTTTGATACCTTCTGCTATTAAGGTAGCCAAGTACACTGGCCATTTGAAAATGCAGGTAGATATAAAACCATCTCTGTTTATATACCCTTGAAAAGAATGAGAAAAACTGCAATACTGTCCTGGTCATTTACTCACAGATGATTTTTCTCTAAAGCAAGCTTTTCCTTGAGAAATTGAATTTGAGAGTCTTTGTCTTGCTTTGCTATCTGTGACTGAAATTCCTTCTCACACAAGCAAAGATTCCAGGTTTTTCATAGACACTTTCATTTCCCAGTTGTTTTCTCAGCAGCTCTGTTTCAGAATGGGATGACTCACACTTGCTCTGCAGCTAAACAAAGATTTTAACGTTTCCGATGTATATCTATTAAGCCCAATGGCATTTTATTAGGGTAACCTTAAAAAAAAAAAAAGATAAATATAAAAAAGGAAGTATGGGATCAATGACAAAATTTGCTTTTACCCTAAGATGGGGGATTAGTGTTACATTTTCCTAGTCAAAATCCTCTGACAGATTTATCAATTCATTCAATCTATATATCTGAATATAAAGTGTACTTGATACAAATGACAAAATGCTATGAAATATATGGATCAATGGATTCTGTAGACAGAATCATTAAAGAACAGGAAGCAAGTTTCACATTTTGTTGAGGCAAGAAACTATTGATTAACTATTTGCAAGCGGGAAATAACACCTAATAAAACAAACCAGTATCAGCATCACCAGCAGAGTGAGAAGGCAGTGAATTTGCTTAAAGGAGCATCAAGAGTAAGTGGGGAGGGAAAAGGAAAATGAGTAAAATAAAAACCAAGATATTAAGTATCTACATATCTTGGGGAAATCTATAAAGGAAGAATACCCATAAAATCTAGTTTATTTCACTGCCAAGGGAAAGATGGGCATATCTGAGACATAGCTACATACAAAAAAAAAAATAGCATAAGTAAACTAGTGGCTATTTTCCCTTCATTTTTTCACGTATGCATTTTAGTCTGTCTAACTGAGTCTGTTTGGGGTGCTGCAAACACTTTTATCTGTATTTTACGCAAGCCTAGTTTACTTTACACACAATAATGCTCAGCCAAAGGTCATGGGAAATCTGTGAACTGAGACATCTTAGCAAACACCCACCTCTCCAGCACATTCCTCAGAATTTTCAGAGGATAACCATTTTTGTGTTCAAAGAAGGAAGATACTGGGAGAACTCAGATCATAGTGCAACAGGGAGGGGGGCAAAAGAAAAAAAAAAAAAAAAAAAAGCATTTTTCACTTACCAAAGCAAAGCTCAATTTTTTTCTCTTACCAAACAAAACTGAAAAGTTTCTTCATTCTGAAAGATCCCATTTTCTATGAACTGTCACTCAAAAATCTAGTTCCTTTGCAGAGAATCAGCTTTGACGTTCTACATTTGTATTTCAGAACAAAAGAACACTGAAAACTTCAGGTTTAGTTTCCACTTCTGAATATACATATGCTTCAATCTAGTGATGCAGATTCTGCACTGGAATACTATGTAAAATAAGAGCCCTATCTGAAGGTTATGCATGGCTGATGAAAGACTATTGGTTGAAAGATATGGGAAAACTAGTGAAAATTCCCCAACTGCAGACTTTTCTCCAAATCTCCAACTGCATTTCTGCACTTTTCTTTCCCAGAACTGTTGCTGTTCTCCACAGTCCCAGCAATCCTCTTCACGGACAATCTCACAAAAGGATCCAGGGAGGCGTAATCATATTAAATCTCATAAAAGTTTCAGATAAATGTCATCTGCTGGAACTCTTCCCTATCAAAAGAATCACAGAGGATTCCACAAGCATACAAAAGACATCACACACATGTGGACAGAACACATAACCAACTGTCAAACAGCAGCTTTACCCATGATGTATGCAAAAGGCACAAAGGTTTAAAGAGAATCCTGGAAGCCTGTGAATAACAAGAAATTATCTCAGCTGGAGCAGAGGATGGACAGGTCAGTGACAGAATCATACTGAAAATATCTAAATAATGTAGGTATGTGTTAAGAATTTTTCAGTTTATCCAAGCTGAGTTTTTAAAAATTTGCCTATCAAATATTAATTTTCTAGTTCTTGTAAAAATCAGGGTCAACAAAAATTTCAAGGGAAATTAAGAAAATATTAAAGATATTGACACGTCATGAAACAGTCAGTCATTTTAAAGTCCATGTCAAGTTTCATTGCTAATAAACAAGCCCAGCTATTCTGCTCACTTATTGACTAGACGTAAAAATGCAAGATATCTCTCATGAAAACAATCAGTAATTTTAAGCCCTGACTTTTGAGTATTCGTAGTCAAGCCTTGCAAAGCAGTGTCCTTTTCAAAGAGTATACAGCACATAAACTTTGAGGAGTAAGCCCCTACTTTTTCTGCTGTGGAAGTTAACTGTTATTTTAATAGTTCTTTGACTGCATCTAGTTTAATGCAAAGTTTTTGTGTAGATGTGAGATTTGCAAGTATAGAGACTTTCCAAATGCATATTTTGAAGCTCTCTATCCATTTTCAGAAGAGACTTGCTTAACACAGAAACATGAGACTCGTATGCTGTTTCTGCTGGTAAATCCTACAGTACAGCAATATCAGATAATCAAAATGCTACTGCAAAAAAATTTACAAAGATCCTACAAAATATCTCTATGTGAATTTTAAGAGGCAGCAGTAAATTACTCTAGAATAAACCATAAAGTTATTTCTTTAAATAACCCCTGTATGTAAAAACTAGAAGAGTTCTTTCTTCTGACAGCAAAATTAGCTACTGACATTTCAA